CCAGCATCTACCACAACACTTTGTTTGCAGTAGGTACTTAATAAATGTTGGGGCCAGGCGTGGTGACTCATGCCTGTAATTCCAGCACTTTGGGAGGCCAAGGTGGGTGGATCACGAGGTCAGGAGTTCGAGACCAGCCTGGCCAAGATGGTGAAACCCCATCTCTACTAAAAATACAAAAATTAACTGGGCATGGTGGCAGGTGCCTGTGATCCCAGCTACTCGGGAGGCTGAGGCAGGAGAAGCACTTGAACCCGGAAGGCAGAGGATACAGTGAGCCGAGATCAGGCCACTGCACTCCAGCCTGGGTGACAGAGCAAGACTTCATCTCAAAAATAAATAAATAAATAAAATGAAATAAATAAATAAATATTGACAGAATGAGAATGGTCTAAATTATTCTGGTTGGCTTTCAATAACTTGCATAATCTGGCTTCAATCTATCTATCCAACTTTATTTTCTTCCCTCAAGTCCATACCAATTAGCCATTCCCCTCACTTTGTATCGTATGTCATGCTCATTTTGGCTTTTGCTCAGGCCATCCCCTCAACTTGAACTGACTTCAGTCTACAGAGAAGTAGCCTGTCCTTCAAGCCTGAGATCAAATCTCCTTTCCCTAGGAAGTCATACTCAATTCTTTCATCACCCAATTAATCATTCCCTTTAGTGAACTCTTGAAAAGTGAGTTTTACACACTTTAGCAACTATTTTCTATGGGGTAGTTTTTCCTTCTCCCTTTTTTTGAAGACAGGGTCTCGCTCTGTCACCTAAGCCGGAGTGCAGTGGTGCAATCTGCAACTTCCGCAGAAAAACAAACAAACAAACATTAGCTAGCATTGCGGTGCACATCTGTAGTCCCACTACTTAGGAGGCTGAGGTGGGAGGATCGCTTGAGCCCAAGAGGTTGAGGCTGCAGTGAACTGTGATCGTACCACTACACTCCAGTCTGGGCAACAGAGAGAGGCCTTGTCTCAAAATAAATAAAATGCATAATTTTAAAATCCTGATTAAAATGTAAGGCATTATTATACTATTTAGTGGAAGATGCAAGCAAGCAGCATTATTTGTTGTCCAGTTAGTTACCAGTGTACTAACCTAGCCAGGAACACTGATTGGATCCTCGAATAGTCAGCTGAGAACAGCAAAACACTGTTCTACTGCACTCCAGCTAAGCAACAGAGCGAGACTCCATCTCAAAATATTTCATTTACTTATTCATTTATTTATTGGCAGCGTTTCTGTTCACCCAGGCTGGAGTGCAGTGGTGCAATCATGGCTCCCTGCAGCCTCAACCTCTGGGGTCATGCGATCCTCCCACCTCAGACTCTCAAGTAGCTGGGACTACAATTGCGCCACTACACCCAGCTAGTTGTTTGTTTGTTTGTTTGTTTGTTTTTCAATTTTTTGTACAGACAGGGTCTCGTTATGCCGCCCCGGCTTGTGTCAAACTCTTAGCCTCAAATGATCTTCCTGCTCTGGTCTCCCAAAGTGCTGGACTACAGGCATTAGCTACCACACTTGGTTTTTTGTTTTTTGTTTTTTTTAAAAGCTAGTCAAGTGAAGCAGTGAGAGTGGAGAAGGAACAAATAATCTGTAACTAGTTGTGATCAATTAGTTGTAAACACCACTGCACTTGGACCAGCACAAACTAATTCTTAACCTATTCACCTAAAATAATTCTTATCATGTATTCTTCTTCAGGTAAAAATGGAGCCCTGGGTTTTATTTTAACAACTTGCCATCCTGGCTATTTCGAGAGTGTCTTTGTTAACTCGTAGCATACCTTCATGATCAGGTCCTACCTTCCTCATTCAGACTTGTGTTGTTCATTGCTGTATTCCCGGTCCCTTAAAAAGTACTCAACACATGAATTGCAAAATGAATTAACAACTTTGAGGGAGGTGTTATTATCATCCTGGCTTTACAGATGAGGAAACTAAGGTTTAGCAAGATTAAGTAACTTGCCTAGGGGTTACAAACCACTAGCCAGAAACAAACCCACATCTGACCACAAAATCCTTGCTTCTACTCTACCCTACTGGCTAGAGTAACTTTTTAATGTCTTGCACTTCTGTGTCTTTACTGGTGGCAGCTCTCTCTTCTTAAGGGGAAGCTCAATTTAAGCTTCATTAACCTGGGCATCCTCAACCTCTGATTCCCATGATGGACCTATATAGACCTCTATCTGGGTTGTGCCCTCTCCAAACTTCTATTAAAATAGCACTTTTAGCCCTCTGCTGTACTTATTTACTTCTCCTCCTTTTCCCCACATCTCAACTCTACACTTCCTGAGGGCAGGAATCAGGTATCTTCAAGTGTCTCTGGCATGAGTTAAGTGTTAAGTAAATATCTGAAGAACGAATAAATAATTCCTGCAAATCCCTGAGATAAAAAGGAAACTTTTCATTCAATTCCCTAACCACAGGCAACCAAAGACTATAGCTTTCCCTGGTGTGGGGTTGGCAAGAGTGCCTGAAATTCCCTGCCCACACCACAGAAAAGCATCCCTGTGCGATGATACGGCAGTTTTTCAAGTTTTGAGACATCTAATGGAAGGACAATATGGTACAGCTTGAAAACTTTAAAGACTAAACTTAAAATCTATCTTCTAAAAGTGGTCTACCTGGATGGGACACCAGCTCTCAATTTTAAATAATGTTTGACTGGTTCAATTAAATCATTGTTTTCAGTGGTTTTACATATTTTGAGTAATTTTATTTCTACACCCAGTGGCTTCAAAATGCAACGTCATAAATCTACTATATTGACTTCCTCACAACTTATAAGAACAAAAACTGCTTGTCTTATACAAAGTGGGAAAATAAAGTAGAACCTGTGTGTTAGGCAAAAAGGCATTCAATAAACATGTTATTATGCTGCCATCTTTCTAAAAGCACACGTGGCCTATTTTAGTCCAATAAAGACTGGGAAGCATTTGCTACAAGGTTTTCATTTTACTAGTCTGAATACTAGGTTCAAACTATACCTACACAAAAAGTGGGTTGTTTGTTTTTGAGACGGAGTCTTGCTCTGTCATCCAGGCTAGGCATCCAGGCTGGAGTGCAGTGGTGCCATCTTGTGCAATCTCCACCTCCGAGGTTCAAACGATTCTCCTGCCTCAGCCTCCCTAGTAACTGGGATTACAGGCATCTGCCACCATACCCGGCTAATTTTTGTATTTTTAGTAGAGACGAGGTTTCGCCACGTTCTCCTGACCTCAGGTGATCCACCCACCTTGGCCTCCCAAAGTGCTGGGATTATAGGCATGAGCCACCATGCCTGGCCAAAAAGTGGTTTTTTTTTTTTGTTTTTTTTTTTAAACATGCTGTAAAAGGTTCAATTGTCTGCCCATCACAAGTGAGGACTACATAAATAGTACATTCTGGATGTAAGAATTTATAACCAAATGCTTAGCTAGACCAATTTCAAGGTACACGTTTAGAGTAACAATTTTTTTATACACACACCCAAACCACAATCTTAATTTTACTCCTTCTATTAACACTAATTTCCGAGCAGTGTCTAGCCCCACCTAGACGTGCAATATAAATAAGGTTTATAAATAGGACATTATAAAGGTGGGACACTGGAATTTCACAACTGGTGTACATGAAATCATTTCTGGTAAACCAGTATTTTTCCAAATATTCACAAGCTGATTTAAAAGAAAGTGAAAATCCATTGTGCCAAGTCGGACTTCTGGCCCCTCGGTTTGATTGGTCCTTCTTCACCAGCAGCCCCCAGCCCTTCCCTTCTGTCCTTCCTCTGCCAGGAATACCCTCCTGACTCATCCCTGCCTGCCTATGTCCATCACTTCCTTGGAGACCCGGCTCAAGATTCAGCTCCGGGAAAAAGTCCTCCCTGGCTAATTCCATCTCCACTACTTTCTAACTTTGCATTCCTTTGGTATTTAAATATAGTTTGCACGACGTAATCGCCAACTTCATTCCTTTCCTCCCTATAAGTTGTTTTGCATTTTTCTATCATTTCTCCAACTAGAGACCAAGTAGGGACAGCATCTTCTTTTATATTCTTTTCAACACAGCTAGCAATAATCACCAGCGAAAGAAAGCTGACCGCTCAAAAATTTATGAAGAAAGCAACTGACTCTTCGTTTATAATTTACAATATCACCTCCAACATGCATGAGTTCTTAGAGGAGAGGAATTTTATTTTTGCCCTAGTTCAAATTCATCACGAAAGATCCAACTTACAGATCACATACATATAACTTACTGTAAAGAATAATCCTGGTTACTGAAACCTATTTTGTGATTTGCCATTTCAAGTTTCTTACAAAAACCCTAATAGCGCGCCTGTGAGTGGTAGGAAGCTGGCAGCAGACTTGCAAAAGGGGCAAAACTCTAGTTGGCAGTAAATGTTCAAACACGTGAGCCTCCACTGTTAAACAAGGTTCATTAACCACACAGACTTGCTGTTTCAGCTTTCTGGCTTCAATGAAGTGCTATGATCTCCTTTGGTTATTGTTGAGAGCCAATGATGGGTTAAATTCCCATAAATTAACCAGCTCTTTGGTGGGCTGCCCAAGCATACAGCTGGCATCGGTGTGGACGGACTTTTTTTTTTTTTTTTTTTAATAGACCCACCCGCCCCGAGGAGCCAGAGGTGAGTGAGTTAAGCGCCAACCCGGCACTTCTCAGCGGGCAAACGGAGACAGACCCACTCGAGCCGTTCGCTCTGCCTCAAGTTCTTAGTGTCAGCTTATCAGGCCGAGAGGAGGCTTCATAGGCAGCTGCTTTTTACTCAGTCTCAGCCGAGTCTTCCTGAGGGGCTGCAAGTAACACTTCGGCGGCTGCCCAACTTTTCCTGCAAGAAGCATCCGTTTTTCCACACTGAAAGCTCCAGAAACCCGGTTTTGGGGTGAGAGGGGGAGAGAACCGGCTCGCCCCGCCGGCGGGGCAGGAACAAAGTGAGCTCCCGCGAGCCCAGGCCGCCGCGGCCCGCCCACCCTCCCGCCCGCCCGGCCGGCCCCGCTCACCCTCCAGCAGCACCTCCTTGCCCGCGCGCTTCAACGCCTGCACGGCCTGGTCGTGGGTGGCCTGGCGCAGGTCGGTGCCATTCACCGACAGGATGGCGTCGCCCAGCCGCAGCGCCCGGCTCTGGTCGGCGGCCAGCCCCGGGAAGATCTTGGAGATGAGGATCGGCATCCGGTTCTCGCGGCCGCCCTTGATGCTGATGCCCAGGCCGCCCGCCTCCTGCTTCACCACCCGCACCCGGCGCACGGGAGGCGACGCGCCCGCCTCACCCGCGGGGCTCCGAAGTGGCGCCGGCGGGCTTGGGGGCCCCAGGCCGCGGCTTGGGCTCCCGGGCAGCGAGTCGCCCGCGCCGCCGCCGTTCGGGAGGCCGTTGAAGGCGGCTGCCGCGGGTCCCAGAGCGGGCTCCAGCTCGGCCGCGGCGGCGTCGCCCGTCAGGCTCAGGCTCTCCCCGCTCAGCTCGGCCACCACTCGGACCCAGCGCTCCCTCAGGAGCAGCTCCACCAGCCCCGCTTTGGTGGCCCGCGTCCACACCGCCATGGCCGGCCCCGCTCCAGCCGCCGCAGCTACCCTCATTCCAGTCAGGCAGCCTCGGCGCTTCCCCCTTCCCGCCCGGAGGGGCGGGCCCGGCCCCTCCCCCGCGTGATTCATTATTCATGAGGCCACGCCTGCCTCCGGAGGGGCGGGGCCGGCGCAGCCGCTTCCGGGAGGTGCAGAAGTTGTCTGATCCCTTGCCTCTCGCCGAACGTGGGCAACCCGACTGCAGTGGGACTGCATTTCTCATTCTCCTTCCATTGGCTCCCCACGGCTCCCCCCGGAAATTCACGGGAGCTGCCCGGGCACGGAAAGTAAAATCAGCTTGGAGAAGCACTTTGCAAGCCTGCAAGACCCGGTGGCACGTTCATTCTTGCATTGATTGGTTCGTACCCTGTATACTGAGCGCTTAGCCCTGTACTCCGGCTCCTTTTGAGGCCCTGTAGATAAGCTCAGTAGTACCAACAACAGCTGAGAGTTTGCGGTCTAGTGGGGAAGGAAAATGCAGAACCAACCAACTAGGTGTGATACTATGTGGTTAAGTGACATGCAGAAAATGTCCCCAGAACAGCATAAAAGGAACATTTGGTTAGGCCTGGGGTCAGCTTCACAGAGGTGACAACGGAGGGTGAACGGCTCAAGCAAAGGTCCAACAGCATGATCCAAGCCTTTGTCAATGTTTTGTAATCTCGTTTACTTGCCTGTAATTCAAGAGGGAACCATGTTTTCTTAAACTCTGAAGCCACAATTGGCAGGCCTCAAGGATATTTGCAGAATGATGGTGTCTTATGGTTCTTCAGAGAAACCAATCAATAGGATATATAGAGATATATAAATTTATTATTATTATTTTTATAAGGGACTGGCCACGAGATTATGGATGCTGAGAAGTTCCACGATCTGCCATCTGCAAACTGGAGACCCAGGAAAGTTGGTGGTGCACTTCCAATCCAAGCCCAAAGGCCTGAGACGCAGGGGAACCAGTGGTGTAAACCTGGGCCCGGCGCGGTGGCTCAAGGCCGGGCGCGGTGGCTCAAACCTTTAATCCCAGCACTTTGAGAGGCCGAGGTGGGTGGATCACCTGAGGTCATGAAGTCATGAGTTCGAGACAAGCCTGACCAACATGGAGAAACACTATCTCTACTAAAAATACAAAAAATTAGCCGGGCATGGTGGCACAATCCCAGCTACTCAGGAGGCTGAGGCAGGAGAATTGCTTGAACCCAGAAGCGGAGGTTGCAGTGAGCTGAGATGGCGCCATTGCACTCCAGCCTGGGCAACAAGAACAAAACTCTTTCTCAAACAACAACAACAAAAAACAGGGGCTCACGCCTGTAATCCCAGCACTTTGGGAGGCCGAGGCGGGCGGATCACGAGGTCAGGAGATCGAGACCATCCTGGCTGACACAGTGAAACACCATCTTTACTAAAAATACAAAAAAATAGCCGGGCGTGGTCGTCTCAGCTACTAGGGAGGTTGAGGCAGGAGAATGGCGTGAACCCAGGAGGTGGACCTTGCAATGAGCCGAGATCGTGCCACTGCACTCCAGCCTGGGCGAGAGAGCGAGACTCAGTCTCAAAAAAATGTCTGGGCTGGGTGCGGTGGCTTACACCTGTGATCCCAGCACTTTGGGATGCCGAGGCAGTGGATCACCTGGGGTCAAGAGTTCTAGACCAGTCTGGCCAACATGGTGAAACCCTGTCTCTACTAAAAATACAAAAAATTAGCCGGGCGTGGTGGCAGGCACCTGTAGTCCCAGCTACTCAAGAGGCTGAGGCAGCAGAATCACTTGAATCTGGAAGGCAGAGGTTGCAGTGAGCCAAGATTGTGCCACTGCACTCCAGCCTGGGCAGCAAGAGCAAAATTCCATCTCCAGAAAAAAAAGAAAGTCCGAGAAGGGGGCCGCACGCAGTGGCTCACGCCTGTAATCCCAGCACTTTGGGAGACTGAGGCAGTCAGATCACTTGAGGTCAGGAGTTCAAGACCAGGCTGGCCAATGTGGTGAAACCCCCGTCTCTACTAAAAATACAAACATTAGCCGGATATGGTTGTGGGCCCTTATAATTCCATCTACTCGGGAGGCGGAGGCAGGAGAATTGCTTGAATCCAGGAGGTGGAGGTTGCCGTGAGCTGAGATCACGCCAGTGTACTCCAGCCTGGGCAACAAAGCGAGACCCTGTCTCAAAGTCTGAGAAAGGGGTGAGGGTGGGAGTTGGGGGGGGGACAATGATGTAAGTCCCCATCCCAATGCCAAGGCGCCAGAGCCAGGTGTACCAAAGTCTAAGGGCAGGAGAAGATGAATGTCCCAGCTCAGGCAGAGAGTGAATTCCCCCTTCCTCTGCCCTTTGTTCTGCTCAGGCCCTCAACTGATTGGATGCTGCCTGCCCACATTGGTGGGGGTGATACTCTTTAGAGTCTACCATGGAAATGCTAATCTCTTCCTGAAACACCCACACAGGTATACCCAGAGGTTATGTTTTACTAGTTACCTGGGGATCTCTTAGCCCAGTCAAGTTGACACAAAATTAACATCACAGATGGTTACTTAGGAAGATGCCAGAATTCCAATGTGAACAGAGCGTAAGGTCAGTGGAAGTGGGAGGATATGAGTGTGAAAAGCATCTTTTTTTTTTTTTTTTGAGACAAGAGTTTCGCTCTTTTTGCCCAGGCTGGAGTGCAATGGTGCGATCTCGGCTCACTGCAATCTCTGCCTCCCGGGTTCAAGTGATTCTCCTGCCTCAGCCTACTGAGTAGCTGGGATTACAGGCATGTGCCACCACGCCTGACTAATTTTGTATATTTTAGTGAGACAGGGTTTCTCCATGTTGGCCAGGCTGGTCTCAAACTCCTGACCTCAGGTGATCTGCCTGCCTCCCAAAGTGCTGGGATTACAGGCGTGAGCCACCGCGCCCAGACGAAAAGCATCTTATAACAAAATATCAAAGAGTTTGGACTTGACTTTATAGATCTTTCTTTTTTTTTTTTTGAGACAGAGTCTCATTCTGTCACCCAGGCCGGAGTGGTACAGTGGCTTGATCTCAGCTCACTGTAACCTCCACCTCACAGGTTCAAGTGATTCTCCTGCCTCAGCCTCCCGAGTAGCTGGGATTACAGGCGTGTGCCATCACGCCAGCTAATTTTTATAATTTTAGTAGAGGTGGGGTTTCACCATGTTGGTCAGGCTGTTCTTGAACTCCTGACCTCGTGATCCACCTGCCTTGGCCTCCCAAAGTGCTGGGATTACAGGTGTGAGCCACCACACCTGGCCATAGATCTGACTTTCTTAGCCTGCAGGCCATGGCCTTTTGTTGGGGCAAGTGTACATGGGCATTCCCAAAAATTGTATGCAAAATTTGGTCTCTAAGGTATTTTTTTGAAGCCTGTGATTCATCCAATTGGCAGGAAGTTTCCATGACCAAAGGCCATGAGCCACTGCTGTGCACATTGCAGAGCCTGCAGTGGCTTTTATCCAGACAGGAGTGATACAATCTACCCACCTCCTCTAGCTTCATGGACTAGAAGACCTGAGAAAACTGAGGGCCAGAGAGCCAAAGACCAAAGACCATGGCCCAAAGTCCACAGGAAGGAGGCAGAGACAACTCAGGACTCCCAGCCTCTGGATCCAGGGCTATTGTCACTATACAGTACCCCTCAGACCTCAAAAATAAGGGTCCAGGCTGGGCACAGTGGCTCATGCCTATAATCCCAAAACTTTGGGAGGGTGAGGCAAGCAGATCATTTGAGGTCAAGAGTTCGAGACCAGCCTGACCAACATGGTGAAACCCCATCTCTACTAAAAATACAAAAAAAAAAAAAAATTAGCCGTGTGGTTGGGTGATACTCATTCTCAGCTACTCAAGCGAGGATGGAGGGCAGAGAGAATCATTGAACCCAGGGAGGCAAAGGTTGCAGTGAGCCAAGATCGCATGTGCACCACTGCACTCCAGCCTGAGCAAGACTTTGTCTCAAAAAAAAAAAAATGTAAAATAAAAAACTAAAAAAATAAACTAAGGGCCAGAAAGCACACTGTTAAGAAAGCAAGTGCGGGCCGGGCGCAGTTGGCTCAAGCCTGTAATCCCCAGCACGTTTGGGAGGCCCGGACGGGCGGATCACAGAGGTCAGAGAATCAGCGACCCTGGCCTAACACAGTGAAACCCCGGTCTCTACTTAAAAGTACAAAAACTAGCTGGCGACGGTGGCGGGGGCCTGTAGTCTCAGCTACTGGAGGCTGAAGCAGGAGAATGGCGTACCCCGAGGTGGAGCTTGCAGGTGAGGCTGAGATTTCGGCCACTGCACTTCCAGCCCTGGGCAACCAGAGGGGCAGAGCTCCGTTCTCAAAAAAAAAGGAAAAAGAAAAAAGGAAAAGAAGCAAGTGCTCGGCAAATCATGATGGTCAAGGTGTCCTCTAACTTTTCTTCAGCAGTAGTAGAAAAAATCCTGTGTTTTTCCATGTGGGCAGGGACGGAAGGCAAGGCAGAGGAATGTGCACCAATTCTGTTAAGGGGCTGTAAACTTGCTTGCTCATGAAGGTGCACGTTGGGGCTCTAAACAGTGGCCATTGCACCACTCCTGTGAATGCCATGTTCATGTGGCAGGCAGGAAACTTCTGAAGAGGCCTCCTGTAACAGAAGTTTAAAATAATAAATATCAGAGGCGTGGGAAGTGTCCAGGAGCCAAAATTGAAGAGAATTCAAAATGGAGAAAAGTATCTTACGCAAAAAAAAAAAAAAAATCGTTACAGGCAGAATCCTCTTTGCGATTAGTGGAGGCCGGATTTTCTAGCTGCATATAGTGCAGCAAAAGGTCGAGAACCCTCCACCCTCTCCTAAATCACACGCAGAGGCCATTGCTTGGTTCTAGCAAGTTCCCCAAATGGCCCAAGGCACCTGCGGTACAGCATTTCTGGCTTTGCTCCAGCGAGGTGAGCCCCCAGAGGCCTGTGAGAATGCCTATAGAGTGTTGCAGCTGAATCCGTAAATAAGCGACTTTTTGGTAGCGCTTTTGCATTTTGATCACGCCGAG